GTATCTAACTATCGCTCTTACGGTGAGGTAACCGATATGCCTTAGACCCAAAAAGATGACGTGTTTCAGACATAGAAAGCTGATTACCCACTTGCCTATTATATAAATCTGAGGTCCGGACATTAAAGGTTGTAGCGCCACTAGTTTACTTGAAAAAAATCTATACTCTATATTAAAAGCGCGGTGCAGTTTTTTATTTATAGTTGTATTTTTTATAAGAGAATTGCAATTTCTTCGCAGAATCATGTGCTAGGTTATTCCCGAGAAGTATTAAATGTATCCTGTTGCCATTTTAGAACCAAGTTCATTGAATTGGGTTTTATCGGGCATAGTTGTATTTGCATTTTTTATAATGTATTCATTTTATGTTCGCGTAATTTAACAGCGATTTGTATTACAAGATAATACAGGCATTTTCAATTATTGACTATAGTTTGTAACTCTTAGCTTTTTATAGTTTCTACAAGTTTAAGGGTTTTTCTATAAAAACTACGATATTTTGGATCTCGGAAGTGATTCAATGAAATGTATGTGAAATTGTAATTGTATTTATATCGCCCTACGATTACTTAGATTATCTGTCTACTGGTAATTATTAAAATCTGTATTGTAACCCCAAAGATTCTCCCCACAAACAAACTTATAATCTCTCATCTTAAAGCACCTCTTTATAATATCAATGTTACCTCGTAATCGGTTGCTTAAGGTTAGAACGAATAGAACTGTTGAAGACCACGTTTAAAAGGTCGGTGTGTTGGCTTGAGTCGTGAACATAAAGATGATTTATTTTACTATCTTTTGACATTGTAATGCAATTTGCGGTTGCACGCATTAAAGGCAACATTTCTCCCAAAGTAATATTATTTTTATAAAGTTTATTATTATATAGGAATTCAATTTTTATAGCTTCGATTGTCTCATATATGCATCTCCATAATAAAATGGATGTTGTATATAAGAAATGTCACTTATCGCTAAATCTCACTCCCAAACGTCAGAAATATATTGGATTTTTATACTTAACTAGGACTAGTTTGCATAAGTCTCGTTTTTAAATCTCACTCTAAACATGGTTGGATGTTACAACAAGTGTTAATGACAAGTACAAAAATCACAAAAAGGTGGGGGAAACTTCAAATCATTTATAACATTTCAGCTAGTTTCCAGTAGTTGTCTTGACAAGACTTACACACCTTCGGTGTTTTCGAAGCCAATCTTCGTGCCGTATATTATTTATTCAATTACAAAATCTCATTCTTCCGTCCATCGTTCCACAACTGAGCGATTTTAAGGTAGATGTGGCCACCACTATGTAGCCCACTAAAGTATGATTTATATTTTCCGGATCAATTCGACTTACGAGTCCTTCAAGAAAAGATGAATGTGAATGTCTATGGGCGACGGTACCACTAAGCATCATGAGAGCCTCCAGCCCGTTTGCTGCTTGCGTTTGTTTTATAAAAAAATCTTTATTTTGGTTGCACGAACAGAACACCGATTGGGGTCATTAACAGTAAAACGTAATACTGTTTACAAAACATTCGTTATGTTTACAATAGTGACATTTATTTAAAGCCCTCAAAAGCTTATTCATAGCTTATTACCTTTTTGTTATACCTAGTTTAAATACATGACTCATTGTGTGGGTGTCTCATTGATATGCACGTTTAGGAAGTGCATTCGTGTTTAAAGGCAGTCGTGTGCAAAATTGATTTATAAACTTGGTTCTAACACTTTCGATTTTATTTAACATGCAGTTTGTACCATGTTTTTAATATGATATTTCCATACAATCGTAGTCCAGCGATGCCAGATTTTTTTATTGCCAAGACGGAATTTGGAACTTTTTGAGTTAAAAAAGCGGGAATCTTTCGTCGAAAGCGGGACATAGTAATTAAAGGTGATATTTTAAATCAGATGTAGGGTAAATCGCTAAATACTTGTCTTCTTAATAAAAAATAAAAAAAACCAAACCAAAAAAACTATTCTAATGAATATAGCGTTTCAAACAACAGTCAGAACTCTGAGGAATGAGTATTACAAATTACAATAAGAGAATAATTTTTCATTAGAATTACTTATTCTTGGTATTTTTGTGAAGATTTAACTTATTTTAAAGTTTCCTCTTTCTCTTTAATAAAGGTGACAAACTCTTCACAGGATAGCTGTAGATTAATCTAGATGAGTAGCTTTAATTTACAGACAATTTGATTCTGGCATCCGCCCATTTAAATTATAATTTATCTGGCATAAATGGCATTTAGGGAAGTAGTTTGATGTTGCGATAACTAATATGAAGGATAGTAGTTCAAACATATTCTTGGTATCTTTTTTTGGTAGCTGTTAAAAGAGCTGGTGCCATTTCGGTGCATGGCAGTGGTGTCTTGAGTGACGGTTGAGTTAACCCCAAAAAGCGGGAAAAAGCCTGTCCCGCGCGGGGCATTTGATTTTCATTAAACAATCATGACCCGCCAAAATCGGGACGTATGGCAACGCTGAATCGTACCCATATTTTTTGGTAACTAACAATAATGAATCGATTAAAAATTAAAACCGATATTGCTAATTATTTCAGAAACGCGTTGGTAGTAGTATTTTTGCTAAGGCTTCAAAAACTTTCCGTGCACTATGGCCTTACGAGATCACTCAATAATCAATAATATCAGTAAAAAATTACCTTGAAATCGATCGTACAAAAACCTCTATAAATCCATCATATCACTTTCCTTTAACGGTAAAGTCATGCTACGTGACTGTGAGGTAATTAAAACGGTTCGGAAACGTAACACCTTAACTGTAACCTCGCTTTGGTAAAAACTGCTGAGAATTGACGAGTTTATCAAAATGAAAAGGTCATTGACACCGCTATTTAACAGCTACAGCACAATAGAGCTAACAGTATAATATCTTTCGCGTTGTTCAGAGGCTTTACGATTTTTTATATGCAACGGAGAAAACGGGCCCGATTTTACCCTATGTGGACCTTTAGTCAAAATCGTTTGGAAATACGTTCTATTGAGGCAGCAGTGGACACAGTAGTGGCAAATAGTGTCTTAAAAAAAATGCTCAGGGCGATAGTTTTCAAATGCCTTGTTACGAGTATAAGGTTTTTTACGGTTTTGGACAGACGTTTGGCCACAATCTCAGCTAATATTAAGTGAGATGTGGCCAAATGAAGGGCACGTGTGTCCAGGAGACGCCTGCTCGACCGCCGCTTGAATGAACCCTTAGGAAAGAACCCTTCAATGAAACCCCTAGTGTAGGGAAGCTGGAAGGGGGAAAAGGAGTTTCACTCCTTTGCTGTTTTTATAAAGAACGACGAACCAAATCATGCAGTGCGGCACCTGGCGATGTCGACAACGAAGAGGTGAAACTTCAGCGTGCTTTATTAGCGTTGTTGATCGGGGATGAAGGAATCAGATTGTGAAAATATATCCTTAAACGTGTGACTAATAAAAGTCTAGTTGACTAGTTAAAGCGTCGACATAATTAAACTGCTATTGTCGTCGCTTTACTACATATATATCAAATTATAGAACAAAGCATACCGCAATAGCTTTTGACCCTAAAACAAACGATCGGACATAATAATTTCATTGTTCCATGTAGTTAGTATCAGTTATAAACGTCGGAACAACAGTTAAGTGCAGCGTTAGCGGATACCAGTTAAACTAAATTATGCATGGTGTACCTGATCTACTCCTTTGTTGTTAATAATTATGATCTCTATGATATAGATTTTTGGTGCGTAGGTATTATTAAAATATTTTACATATGTACAGTTCCCATTTTTAAGATCAGTTTAATACGTGTCAAATTTTAAGTTAAAATCTTGTAAAAACGTTTTTAGTTTGTTTATTTATTTACGATGATTTACGCCTCATAAAAGCAATTCACGTTGTGTTGTTATTGAGTCAATTTTAATAAATCTCATATATGAAGTTTTAACCGGATATTTTGTACTAAATAGCAAGTACTAGCAAGCTGAATGCCCGCCTGTTACTCCTACAATAGGCCTCTGATTTATTGCTTCAACAACATGATACGCATTAAGCACTGGGATTATTTAGGTACTTGTTTTTGTTTGAAATATTGTTGAGGCATAATGAAATGCTTTCGGCTTAAATTTAAACAAAGAGGTAAAGTTTATAAACAATCATTGAATATATTATCAGAGGTTTTCCCAGTTTGAATCTTATATAACAATAATACTAGTCCTGTGGTATACGGTGGTCTAAAAAATATTCTCGAATATTATATAGAAATAAAGGTATTATAATCAATAATGCAAATGTTATTGTGTGACAAGGTATGCCGTTATGAATGGCAGGATACACTCCTCACTACATAACAATACAACAACAGTCTTATCAGTTTACATCTTTATACATATGTCACAATGCTACGATATTTAAAAAAACGTTTGTATTAAGATAAAAAATACTTCGAATAAAGTCGAGTAAATCCTATCGAATGACGATGTTGCAGGTAACAGCTAGTGAGTTGTTGAAAATATTACGTTTTAAAATTATGGAAAATACAGCCTCATTTGAGTACTTACGTAAAAAGAACGAGTTTTAAGAAATCCAGTTTCCTCCCAAAATCTACCATGATATTAAAACCATCAATCTTAATTCTGAAACTCCAGAAAATTCATTAAAATTATATATCTATTAATACAAATTGTGTTTTGTTTAGGTGGCTAAAGTATAGCAATGAACTTCAAAATAAACTAAATAATATCAGCGTTTAGATAAGACTATGAAATCAGAAGACAGATTATGCTTTAGATATCAAATGGCGAAGCTAATGACCCTCGCAAGGCCAAAGCCCTTCGCGGATAAAACTATAAAACCTTTTAGTAGTGTAGAGTGCGACTCACTTCCAACAAAATTATCGGTAAAGCGTATCATTATGACAATCAAGTTTTATGCATACTAGGTAATATTGAAGAAAAAACATGGAGTAATATATTGACGATATAATTGTGAGAAATCAAAATGGGTAGTGGAAAGTTTGGGTTCAACGGTAAAAAGGACAAAGTGGAGGATAAGACTGAGTTTAGTGTTAAGGAAAAATGTCGTAAATTGAAGAAGAAACTTAAGAAGACTGATGAAACACAGAAGACTGAAAGTGTGAAGGAGAAGACGATTTGGTGGAATCAATGCAGTGGACGTGAGTACAATTTAATTTAGTGGGTAATTTCCGAGAACTAAACGATTACACTCTCTGATTTCCTTTTAATTGGATTTATAATAAACATGTTTGACCCAAATTTAATGTTATGTCAGCAATATTTAAATAAGATAACTGTATTTACAGACGTATTTACGAATGTTATGTCTTGTTTTTACAAATATTTGTAAGTAAATTTAGAACTCTCAAAACGCCAACTTGTTGTTTTGTCTTTACTTCGAACCTTCATTTTGCAATTTTGTTGATTCTGCTGGTTTTGATATATTTCTATTACGATATGAGCAATCGGTAACTAAAGCGATCAAGTTATTTCAAATGCTAAAGACTTATTCATAAAATCGTCCCTTCAAGGGCCATCCGGCTTGCAACGCGTTTTGAATTCACAATGAAGGGAAATTAGAGTAGGTAACCAAGGTTCGAGCTTTTGAAATCAGTACCTATTCAAAGACATGGTGCCGAGGTCGATACGACCTTACGTTGCCTTCAATTACATGTGGGCCCTTCTAAACATTACATTTCGACATTGACTTTCGAGTATAACCCTGTCCCTAATTTCTAACACATGAAACGGTTGCTTCATGTTGATAGAAATCAAAAGTGCATTGTGTGATCGTGAAATCTTTCCGATTTCTTTGTTTTCACTATTGCCGCTGGAAAAGTGTGTCAATGGAAAACGCGAGAGATTCCCGAGAAATCTATGCGCCCGAGTCGGTACGATGCCGTTACGCCCCTAACCACTTTCTAAACTTGCTTGCACACTTTACCGTCCAGGAACTAAATGATAGCTAAGTCATGAAAGTTGACGTGCTGACATTTCCTTATAAAGGAGATTGGTTAGTCATAACGCAGTTGACATAACTTTTAGAGTAAGTCGTTTTATACTAATTAGGAATATATGGCTTTTAGAAGAAATTGGATCACATATTAAATTCACATTCACATTGAAATATTATTGATAATATGAAACGAATTATTCGTTCACTCTTGAATGAATATTGGTATAAAGTAAATGAAACATTAGAATGGAAGCATCAGAGTCTGTAGCATGGCCTCAGCAAGGGTAATTAATAATTACATTTGAATTTGTGATTTAAAGTAGAATCTTTATTAATACATACATTGAGTTTATAGAACAACTACACCAATACATTGAAATAAATAACTTACCTTAACATATACGTATAATAATTAAAATATATAATTAAAAGGAGTCCCTTTAGGCAAGGTTCCGAAGATACTGGCAGCGTTCCCCCTTTGAATAGCTAGACTAATTCTTTGTCCGAGGTAGCTGCCAGATCTTCGGTCTCCTGTGATGTTGACTAACCTTTTTGATAATTCTTTAAAAAGCCTTAAAGCGTAGCGTTAGCCTTATCCTTTTTTGTTTTTGCGTTAAGGTGTATCTTACAAAGCACAAAATTTTTAAGTAATGTGTCTTGCTGTGACGGAAATGAAAATTGTGGAATACCTACTGGTTCACCTCGTTGCTTCGTATTTAATTTACTGGTACTTTATGAAACATCAATCTTCTTTTATAATTTTGTGAATTAAAAGGTTAACGGAAGAGTCCTCGATTTAAAAAGGCTATCGCGGAATTTAATTGGGTTTAATTCTGAATCATGATTTGAAATTATTTCTTTATAAATAGCATGTTTCAATGAGTTATTTTGACCTGCTTTATGAATATTGATTCTTTTATTATTGAGATCAATTAATTTTACTTCAGTAGTTTTACGTATTGACTTGCAGGTCCTTGGTTTATTAAAAAATGTTTTAATATATAAAGCATTTATGGTGTACAAAAACAGATGCACAAGTTGAAGAAAATTAATCATTATCATTCAATGGCGTAATTGTCAAGGTACCAAAGCATTTGCTTTTTTTTTGAAGTGAAACTTCTTTAGGCGAAAATATTTACGGAACGTCACGAAGATGTGCAGCGTTTTTGTCGAAGAAAAGGGAGAGAGCGATTCAGAGAGAGTGAGAAGGGTGAATTACCTTTTAGAAATTCTCTTTTTAAAATTAAAATTTCGTAAATCGTTAATATTTTATGTAAAATAAATTATTGAAATCTCAAATGACGAATTGTATATTAAAATGCCACGTGTTTTTATTATCGATGAAATAAATTAAATTTATTATTTGTATTAATTTTCGACGCTTTTCATATTTTAATGACAATTGTAATCATGTGTATGAAGAATATGAGAGACAGCTTGACATACGACATACGATTCTGTCGTCTTCTAGCTGTATAGATCAAGTTTAGTCCAGAGTTAATTTGTAGGCTCCCAATAAAAAAACTTAATTAATAAAAGGTTTAATATACAGCATTATTGAATGTTGTTGCAGTGAGTGAAATCGACCAGTACCTTTGGATGGTAGGCGGTTCAGCTGGAGCCCTGGCTCTCACGGGCGTTGCAGCAGCGTCGGCCTTCTACCTCACCACACGCCCGAAGCCTGAGAAGCCACTCGTAACATTACACGAACAGAGCTTACTGGAACCAGTAAGTGATTTTTGATGTTTACTTATGTAAAAGGTCATTGCACAATAGTATATATAGGAATGAAGTAGCTAAAACATAGCATGTGCAACAATATTGACGAATACAATTTTAACTGAAGCCTCTCCACTTCTTCTCTTCTTCTTCTTCTTTCCATCACAACACATGATCAAACATCATCAATGTTTAATCATTTGACAAAAAAAAAATTTAGAATTTAGAGACTTATTTTAAACTAGACTAATTTAAAGTTTAGTTAGACAAAACAAACAATAAACACTGCAAAAATATAAGTAATATTAAAAAACAAAGTCGTTAATTGTATACGTGTTTTTTTCCTACGCTCTTATTACGAATATTGAGCGAAAACAATAACAAAATTAACTTAAAACCTTCCGTACCATTCTGTACCAGGAAGTTCTGAGACTACATTTATACTTTATACTATAAAGCCTCAATTAGTTAATGTTTTTACATGTTTATGTATTTGCAACGCGGTACGTGAGTGACACACAAGTTCTGTGTTTTAGGACGTCACCGACGTTATAACGTAATACTACGTATAAATACGATAATAATTAACACATTAACACACAAATAGGCATAACAATAAAAGAATACCAGATGATATAAATAGACAGCCTTGCTCAGAGCTTTCTTCCAGACATCAACGACCAAAATTTACTTAAAAGATATTGAATACAGTATACGAGTAATAATTAATAACAACTCAACATTAACATCTGCTAAAATAGTAACGTCCCTGTTGCCATGGTTACCGTAATACATGAAATTTGGATCATTTTTTAAATCATGATTTAAGGATCATATTATCTCCGCCTGTTTCTGTATTGTTATTCGTATATCGCAGTACATTTTAATATTTTTATTATATTATATAAATTGATCTCTGTTTCACAGCAGGTGCGTCTTGTTTCCGACAGCTGTATGTGAACGTATGATTGATGTGTGACATTAATCAAAACCGCTATTTCATATTAAAGCTTGTAGTATAGGAGTGTAGCTTATGTAATAAAGAGGTGCGGAAATTGTCAATTCGATTATTATATAGACATAAACATTGCTAATCAGTTTTATTGTACTGTATTTTGTTTCTTTCTATCAAATTATATTTACGCAATGATGAAAAGAGATAGACAAGTACTTAAATGAAAACGGGGCAATTAGAATTTATATAGTTTCTTATGATTGTCATATTTAGTTTTGATCGTTTAATGCGCTTAAAGAAAACTTTTAAAGGATATTATAAAGTAATTGCAAAATCCTGTAACTAAATTTTAATTTTAAATACACGTATTTAGTTTAAATTTTGACATTAGACTATGTAGACATTTATAGCATGTCTTTCATCCCAATGTGATTTCTCAAGTAAAATCGTGGAAAGCATTTTAAAAAACGATGCTACAAGTGTTGAGTAATTTGAATGTTCAGACGAAAATGATAATATAGTTCATGACTGATAAAATATTTTGCGATTGCGATTAATAGGTCTATGATTGATAAGGATTTAAACTAAGCTTATGCACGTGATTAGTTTTAATGTTTAACTGTAATGCGTGAAAATATATAAAGGCTTCTTACTAAATAAAATGTTTTAGGAAAAATAGTATAAACTTGATCTATTCGTAAATTTTATAATTAATTTTTTTTGAAGTGAATCTTCTTTAGGCGCATGAGGGTAAAATTTTTACGGAACGTCACGAAGATGTGCAGCGTTTTTGTCGAAGAAAAGGGAGTGAGCGATTGAGGCCGATTGAGAGAGAGTGAGAAAGGACGAACGTAGCATGAAGCAAATAGCCATGGAGAAAAAAAATTTTTTTTTGATAAATTAAAGAAAATTAATTTATAATTTGAATTAAATTTCGACACTTAATATTTTAATGACAATTAAATTCTTAACATATCTTCCTTTTTCCCTCCCTCGTCTCGGAAATCTAAAGTTTTAGATTTGTATAAATATGAACAAGAGTTAAAAATTAGTTTACCAAAGAAGTTTCACCGCTGACACGTGTACTGTGTTCGCACGCACTTTTTCTTTACATTTTTTTGATTGCATTAATTGTGATGCATGAGTCTTATCATTAAGCTTTTTAATGTTTTCGTACTTCTTGCACTTTCACCCTTGGGATTTCTTTCCTCCCCTAGGGTTGCGCGAAAGAGATCGCATGTTAGCAATACAAGTAAGGCCGCCCGTAGCTAACAATGTTAGCCTCTGATTTTATTTGACTTAATGGAATGAAATGTTAATAATAAAATATGCACCTGATAAATATAGTAAAACTTTAATTAAATGCAATTTTATCCATTTTCCACATCTAACTCGAAAAGGTCAATGTTCTAAATTCCCTAATGACCTAGGTTAAAATATTAGTACTGAAATCTCTCGAATGAATCCTTATAACAGGGTACCAAAGTTCAAGATATCCAATACAAAAACACATTTGGCACTGCGCATCTTCGAGCGATATTTTTAACTCATTGTAGCAAGAGCAACCCTGGTGCTCTCATGTCAGTCTCTACAGCTCTGCAGCGAAAGTGACACAGAAGTTAAAAAAGTAAACATAATTGTGATACCGATTACGCAATAGTGATGGATATTGATTTTAGTGGCTAAATGTGACTAGGTGAAATGACGTGCTGTACTTGCTGTGTAGGAGTTGCTCCTGTTCGAGCTCCAATCAGTCTTCTTGATCAATCTGATAGTATTAAAGTAAGTACATTATAAATTATATTTAGGCACCAATGATATAGCAATGACGAATTCGAAATAGATGTGCCTTCTAGCGTATTTGAAATAAACAGATCCGTACTTATATACGTATACTCTTACATTTAAAGATTTACTTTAGTTATGTATATGTGAATATATCTATAAGATATTGTTATATATTATAATACCTTTGTGGCGATATCTGTGCCAAATAATGTTCGTGTTTGTAGGCATATGACGCAAAATATGCGGTTTAGACTTTTCCTAGATTATTTCCTAATAGAATCAAATTAATGGCGTAGCGCATGTTGATATAAAAGCAGCCCTTACTCGGTTTCAGTTTTTGCGGCCCACCATCTATAAATTTAACGATTTAAAAAGGAAAGTGCCTTTTCAAGGGCGATACTAAATGTCTGTTTCTAAATTTTAGATGACACGATAGTAACAACAATAAATAGATATTTTTTTTATGAAAACGTATAAATGAGACATTGTCACTTAATGTTGTTTTATTATTATGTCGAACATAGGTCCATAGTTAGTTACACAAATTAGAAAAAAAGTTAGTAATTCTAGAACATTCCTCACGTGGATCTATATTCTAAGTATCCATTAAAAGTCGCACGCACTTATGTAGTTCCTAAATCAGCTTATTCATTGTGTTTGCTATGTTAATAAATATTGCGTCGATGGAAATGTTTATTTCCACACCACTAAGTTATGAAGTTCTTAATGGAATTTATACCTAGATTTATGCATTCACAACAAACATAAATTTTGTGAAAGTGCAAAATAAATCAACGCAAATTATCAATTGATTTACTGCCAACATCGGGACAGGAAATGAAACAAGATACTTCCTGTTTTTATAAACAATAATAACATTCTTGTTGAGCAAAAAGAAAATCGGTTACATTAAACACTTTAAATAGAAGACCCGTATTAATTCCATCATTTACAAAACTCGATGTTTCGATCAGCAAGAGATCGGCAAGAGACTGATTTGGGTACATTTTATAAATTTAATGCCTATAAGGCGTTGTACAGAAACCGATGAAAGCAGATAGTACGCTCATAATTGAGCTACCGACTAAAGAGAGATCGCCTACCTATACTTCAATTAGTATCCTATTAAATAATCTTTAGTAACTTCAAATATCAATCAATACTTACGTTTAAGTTTTGAAAAAATTCATCTCCAGATTTAAGATACATAATTTGATGCTCCTTGATATTGTTTACATACTACTATGTCTAAAAATGTGGCTTTTGGATCTCAGTACATAATATATATTGATAATTAAAACAGACACAGATTTACTTATTCAGTTAATTAGATTCACAATTTAAAACAATGTTTACATATTTATTCTAGTAGCCGTAATACTCCGAGTAGTTAGCGTAAATTTTATTAAGTCTATCCAATAATCCAATTTCACTTCCAAATGTAACAATTTTTAAATATCGTAACTGAGTTACACCGTCCTTTATACGTTCGTTAATATATAACTATAAAATCACTATATTACGGTACGGTAATTACGTACATTTTAGTTTTTCATAATGATATTTTTTTTTGGCAAACCACTCGGTCACGGGATTACGAGTAGGGTGGCAAAAATGCTGTACTACATATTTCTCATACAATGTCGCTTTAGTGACTCATATATTTGGGGAAATACTTTTACAAAGCTGTAATTTATCTTCCAGCGGGTATGCGAGCGGGTATAATTTGTATGAATATTGCATATTCAAATTCATTGAATATTAAATGAAATTGCCTGCAAACTAAGTCTCTATGTGCCTTATAAAAATACCTAGATGCTGTGAGAGGTTTTAGTGGGCCTTGAAGAGCTAAGATAATGATTGACTTTTATATGTGTGCATGAAAGTAATATAGTAAACCAACTTCAACAATATTTTCTTAATTTATTACATACATTTTCCCTTCATACGTTTATACACAAATTTCCTCCTTCATGTGTTGATTAAAATATGTCTCTAATTTCCGAAATACGAAAATCGACTAATCTTAGACTAATATCTAATTAAAAAAATATATTAAAATGAAAATTTAGCTTTTGTGCATGGTTTTAAATACTGATACTCCCTCAAAGGCCGTCAACCTCACCAACAGAATGTAATTGCCTGTAATAGCTGTACCATGAGATCTTTTTTATAAAAAAGTGTATGTACTTATGTACACGAGTTAGAAGTTATACTTCTTTGGCGTAACAAGATAAAAATATTATCAAAAAAAGTATCTTTCGCCTTATTCTACGTTTGTAGAAAAAACTACATTAGTGCTCACAATAGAAAATATTTACTCTCATAATTTTTCCCTAACGAGCCAAAAAAGTATAACTTCAAAAAACTAAAATTTTGGCTATAGCTAACTTCAGGGTGTCGGATTTTTGTGACGGTGTCCTAACGCACCAAAAGAAGTATAACTTCAAAAATATAGGTGAATCTTTTAATCTTTTTGTAGCGGTAAAAACATCAACAAACGGTGTTTTATGGTTAAACGCTTATCACCTTGTTACTCCTATCTTCCTCTTCTATTTTAAGAATTAAATCTACGTATAGTTTCAAGAGATGTTGACCTCATTTTTCTAGATGAAATTTGGCATAATATTTGACAGCGTTGATGACGAGAGTGTAGCAATATAATTTTAAAAGTAACTAATAAAAAAAAGTTACTCATGATTTTATTGATTTATTTTAACACTTGAGTGCTTCTGAATTTTATCTCCTACGTTTTAAATCATAAAAAATATTGTTTACTACCATGAGCCGTAGAATTCACTAATGTTATGCGGAAACAGCTCTAGCCAAATTTTACAATGTCAAGTATTCCTATAATAGCTTTACATTAATTATCAATGGAGATGTATTTTTCTATTTAACGTAATGAGTGTATTGAAATATTTTTTTATATACAGCTCCTATAAAACCTTAATGGGGAATGGGGCATAGAGATTAATGTATTACCATATATGATAATATATCCATTACCATTTTGTTGATTGTAGGCAATGAATGGTCGACCGCCATGAATAATATTCTTGTATAGACTCGCACATAACATAACATTTGAAAGGCCGGCAACGCACTTGCGAGCCTCTTAGCTATCACTTAACATCAGGTGAGCCTCCTGCCCGTTTGCCTCCTATTTCATAAAAAATAATTACATGTTTGTATGAATATTATTTTATCAATTTTTCAAATTTTGTTTCTGTCAGTTAAATATTGTTTATTGTCTGTATCTGACTAAAATATTAACAGTGCTACTATACCTTTGACTATTGTCAAAGTATTTAGTAACTGGGAACTATAAACAATCTGAATCATGGACGTTAGTGTATAATTATATATATATACTAGCTGGCCTGGCGAACATCGTACCGCCTAACAGTCGATTCTTTATTTTTTTTTATTACTTATTCTGCTTTTCGGGTCACCGGTCTAGCTAGTAAGATAAAAAAAAGAAAGTTGATAAGACAACAAATACATTATGTCAAAAAATAAAAATGCAAAAAGAACCGCTCCACTAACACTTGAACTTTATGATATGGTATTAAAGTTCAAATTGACTTTTAAGTATTATTACGAATATTTTGTATGGGAATATAGAAAAGTGGTGTTTTTAGACTTTTTCACTCAATTTTTTAAATTTTTCTCTCACCAACCATCCTCGTACTTCAAGGAAAATTATAAAAAAGAATTGGCCAAATTGGTTCAGGCTTTGTTTAGTTATGCGCTTACCAACACATTTTGCGATTCATTTTTATATTATAGATATATATATCTTTTATTCGTGATAAAAGTAATAAAACTGTTGTTTTAAAACATTCTAAGGGATATTGAGTAGGACGAATCGGGTAGATCTAAATATATAACAGACATCATGTGTGCTATGTACAGAATTTTGTTATAAATAACTACGATCGTGTCACCGCACAACTGTCCACACAATATTTTAAAACGATGTCTATTTCCCTACAACCTTGTCTTTGAGACACAAGAATAAATTCTAAAAATAATTGTCGTTTTCGAGAATTAATGCAAGCTTATTTCTGGCTTTGGTAAAATACTGCATTATAATTTAAAACTGAAAGGAATGAACTATGAACATTTCTAAGCACTAGGGGGCCGTTCAAGTATTACGTAAGTACCTATAGTACCTATACGGGAGGGCGGGGTCTTTGATTTTCTTATTTGGTGATTATGTCAACAGTAATTATTTACTTTTCTACACATATTACCCACACATGCATTTTCGAGGATTCATACAAAAAATTAATACGGTTATGTACTATTTTTTAGAGCTTTGCTTACTTTTGCTGACAAGAGGAAGGGGGGGATAAATTGCAGTAAATCTGCTTTCGTAATACTCGAACGGCCCTTAGGCGTTTTTAAATCAGCTATAAGTTATAACCTAGCTGCTAGGAAGATGACCTGGGACTTTGAAATAGAAATAAGACTTCAGTGTAGGCTTTCTTACAATGTAGCAGCGTCATTTTTACAATCCACGCAGATGAAGACTATCAAACATAACAAATATGTACCTATGAAACCATAGTACTAAAAAAACAAACAAAGCCAAAAACATTTCCTATTAAAACAAACCTTATAATGGAAATTAATTGTTTCTGTCGCACCCCTCTTTTAATAGTGATGGAAAATCGATCGCCCGTGCCACTTAACGAATGTTCCCATGGCTGTGCCGCGATACGGTTATCAAAGTTTCCGTTAAAGAACACGTTTAACTGCTATATTAAACAAAACAAGCGTACTTTTGTAAAAATATTATGTACCTCCATCCTATTTGTTTTACCTAGACGAAAAACAATTACACGTTTAAATTTGGGCAGTTAATGTCAATTGATCTATCCACTGCGGGGCTTGGTTGTATGGAAATTGGAAACCCGACATTCTGAAAGTTAAAGGCATGAATAGCACGCGAGTGAAGGCGCAATGTATTTAACAATTAATATAAGTGGTAATACTAAAGAATTACTGAATTTATTATATATATTTTTGCGATTTGGGGCTCTTGTAAGTAGTTGATAATACATCTTAAGTATATCATACAGTGTTTTGTTAAACACAATGTTGACAATAAGTATAGAAGATATTTTCTTCCAAAGTTCGAATTTGATTAGTCCTTACGGAACTTATTGACACGGTACATTATCCTTCTTGAATATTGTTCATTTGTTTTTTCAAAAAAGGTGCTAGCCGTTATACCCAAAAGCAATTAGTTAATTTGACATTGAGTGATTTTCAGTAATCAGTAATATTATATCTTCATGACTTACGTAACGTTTGCCAACATATGTTGATATATTTAATTTTATGTTCAAAACTGATCATATTATGTAAATGGATTATGGAATACGGGTTTCCGCTTGTTAGAAGGATTCAGTTCAGAACAATGACCTCTATATGCATATAAATGTGTCCGACAGGTCACCCTAGGTGATGCTAACACACATTTCTGTGTCTGTATTTCATTAGTACTTGACTCGCAATTCTTATGTGGGTTCAAATTCCGGCCGTGCACAATTGTTTCTATGTGCGTTATCAACACTTCTAATATTAAACAAAGTCGACGGCGTGTGTCAGCAGAATGCAGACATTTAAAAAAATAGATACAGGTGTGAGGCCAAGATCGAGCTTGATAGAAATTAGAAATGTATTTTTTTTGCATTTATCTATTTAGCTGTCACATTTTTATGCCTTCTAAACAATAACAGTATATTCTCTGTAATTAAACTTATTAATGCGCTACTTCAAAAAATAATATATAAATAATAATCAATGGAAAACGCTAATATAGTCATCGGAACAGCTGTTTGTAATAATATTATTGGGAATTTTAGCGTTTCCTGTAGTGTCCGGAAGTGATTTACATCCTACTTTCGGTATTAAGGTCGTTTGTTTATTGTAATAACTAGCATTAATTTCCATTCAATGAGTTGTATAGTGTATACGGCTTTTTAGGTATCATTCTCAATAAACGATCATTGTTTTAGATCGATGTTTAAATATAATGTTCATTGTAACATATATTTTATAATTAAAACCCAGTCAATTAAAATATGTATTGACTAAAGTCTAACTAACTTTGTAATTATTTCAGGGTCCAGAATTAGTTCGTGTATCGAAATTCTACAAAGAAGCAAAGAATGGCCGGTTCTTGCGGTATCTTCACGACGACACGCGCACACTGTATGAGACTTTTCGCAGAGGTGTTAAAGAATCGAGTAAGTACCACATTTTCTACTTTACTGATAAATAATTAACAAAGCGGGAACCTGGAAAAAATACAATTGTATATACTTTTAATTCTTCAAAAAGGTTGTTCTTTAATGTTTATAAGGGTGTGGTTTTGATATAAATTAGCGCCTATCTTACCCTATGATACCCGTTATTTGTAACCGAAACTTTACATTTCAAATAAAGTTTACATTAAAGTAACAAACGTTTCTATGGTTCATATAATTTTTTCATATGGTTAATTTTTTTAATTAAAAATACTAAGTATTGCCCGCGTGACTGCTTTCGTGGCAATAAGAAAGTAAAAAAAGATGTACAGACACACTTGTTTTATACAAAGATTGTTTGAATGAATGTATTTAATTAAAAAGACCTAACGACTGCTCAGTATCGCGAACAATAAACATGGGGTACTTGACAGCCTTTCTAGACTTGATTCATACTAAGTAATAAATAACGTGGACATGTAATTACAAACTTACAATTCTCATAGCGACTGAGGGCTCTCATTAAAGTTGTACGCGATAAACACAATAATAATAGTGTTTTATCATTCTTGAAGTTGTTTACATGTTTGTAACACTTGAAAGGAGTTCTTAAATGTGATCTTGATGATAAGGAAATGAAAATGAATGAATAATTGCAAAAATAGCGACTGGTAACAATTATTGTTGTTATTGTATCGTTTAACCTTTCTTGTAAAGTTCAAGAGATCGATCGATGCTATTGCCTATGTAAAGAGTTATAATAATAATTCTTTATTTGCAAGAATTTTTTTTTTTAAGACAATTCACACCAATTGACCTAGTCCCATGCTAAGCTGGTGAAGCTTGTGTTATGGGTACTAGGCAACGGATATACATACATATTATAGATAGATTGACATATAAATACATATTTTAACACCCAAGACCTAAGCACAACACCAAATGCTCATCACATCGATGTTCGTCTCAGCCGGGGATCGAACCTGGGACCCATGGATTCGCAGTCAGGGGTACTAACCACTAGACCAATGAGTCGTCAAAAGAATATGGTGTAGGTACAATACATAGCTGGTATAATTTGATTTTATTCACTTTTATGTTACATGACATATTATTTAGCCTGGCCTTGTAAATTAATTCTTCCTCGCTTGACGGAAAAGTTCCGGCCTAATAGCCCTCAGTTTTAAAATAAATACGTTGACGTCAACCTTAATCTCAACCTTATATACATTTTATACAAATTCCGAGAAGATTAGGACGCGCAGATATTGTGGATACAAAGTTTTGTCTTCGGAGTTTATTGAAGGTATTTGAATAGTGAATTAGTTGAATTTTACAGCTGGCACATGTGTGTCCATTGTGTGCTATACTAGTACTTAGGGAACTCTTATATGTAAAAATCCTACACCCGTTCCATCCTAATACTCTAAGTATTTTGTGAAGTGAAATTGTAATTATCACGCTATATTAAGTATCGTAACCCTAAAGACCCAGACACTAGACTTGCCTAAAGGTGATTGCCTAAAGTCTTGTCGATGTCTTCACGATGTTTTGCGACCGATGTACGAGTAATAGGAAAAAATTCTTATGTATTCGATCGCACGACCTCAGGTAATCAGCTCTCAAGAGTCAAGCGGTCAATCACATGGGAAACTCATGAACATGGACCTTTCTCCCAAAATTATTTTTGCCTAGTGGCTTCAGCGTTCAACTCTAATTCCTGAGGTCGTCCGCTTAAATTGACGTCTTTTATGTAAGCATTTTAACATATGTTGTTCGGTGAAGGAAAACGTCGCGAGGAATCTCTTAATGGAATACCTTAGACTCAAAAAGTCGCTGATCTACTTGCTCGTTAGAAAAAAAATTACCAAAAACATACAGAACTCTGACGTACGTACCTAGTTTTTTTTTTAAATTATTGTCTTTGACTGTAAGTTTTTTCTTCAGATAATGGCAACTGTCTCGGTTGGCGCGACGGACCAAATAAGCCGTACGTGTGGCAGACATACAATGAGACCCTTCTGCGAGCTAAAAACTTTGGTTCAGGCCTGTTATGCCAAGGTGTTGCCCCGGGCCAAACCACCTTTGTCGGTGAGTACTGTAGGGTACATAAGGAACTTTGAAGTATAATACTCACAGTAGAGTATTTATTAAAAATATCCTTTTGAATTTTATTTTATTATTTCCAAATTATAGAGATAGCGATTGGCTAAAGGCAACGCTACACTCCACAGCTTACAATAAGCTGAAAGATGAAATAGGAATAAATAACTTTATAATATTTATTTTTACCAATTTACATGATATACAAGTCACCTTTTTGAAGTAAGCAAAGACTTAAACACAGCAGAGCGCACCGAAATTAAGCTATCAAACTGTCAGTCCACACTATAATTTTATTAATAATAGCATGTGTATAAATGTATAATTTTTTCAGGTATTTACGCCCAAAATTGTCCAGAGTGGATCATGACGGAGCAAGCTGCGTACTGCTATTCGATGGTTATAGTGCCGTTATATGACACACTAGGAGCCAACGCTTGTGCCTTTATTATTAATCAAAGTGAGTACCCCTAAAGCTCGCAGTTTTAATTCTAAATTCCAGTTAGTTAATCTGGATTTGTTAAGGATTTGTGAATAGGAAAAAAAGCGTGACAACGCAACCTTTTATCCACTTTGTTCTTCTTTTTTGACAGATGATGTACAAACATTTTAGTTACAGTAATTTAGGCTTAGTGATTAACTCATATGATTATCCGGAGCACCAGGTTGGATTCCCGACTCAGAAGGTTTTCATTATATCTTCGGTCGATTTGCATTATATATCCATAACAAGGCAGAAATGGTTTCATGATGATGCTATGGGCCTTCAAATAAATATACGAGATTATTTTGATTCTTTTTGTGTCATATATTTTTATTATAAAAGAAATCTAGAGAAATAAAATATACTTTTGCATTCCACATTGATTTGAATGCGAAATCTACCACAAAAATCTTCTGCTAAGTAAAGGAGAAATTAAATGATTAAACATTTTTTTTTTCAGCTGAAATGTCCCTGGTGGTGTGTGAAGACGACAAGAAAGCTAATTTACTACTGGATGAAGCACCCAGGTGTCTTCGTAAATTAATCACGATAAGGGAAGTGTCACCCTCTACACACCAAAGGGCAAGGAGTCGAGGCGTGGAGATCTTAAAGTTCAGCGATGTTGAAATACAAGGAGCGCAAAAAGATCATCCTTGCATCGTAAGTGAATCGTGATTATACTTTCACTTGTCGATATAACCATAGTTTGTATGTGGCTTTCGCAACTAGTTAGAGCCTTTTTGCGGCAAGGCCAGTGGTGTAACTACACCATCTGGGGCCCGTAGCAAATCTATGATGGGGCCCTATCAGTCAAAATCATCACGTTGTACTCAGTTTAATTTTAATAAACTTCGAGATTTTCATCGTACTCAATTACACGTTGTATATGTCCCACTAATGGCCATAGGCCTCCTCTTTTAGGCGAGAGGGAATGGTATGTAGCTCCCACGCTAGCCCAATGCGTATTGGACACTTCACATTCATCCATAGTACATAATATCTCTTGGGCAGGACCCTCTTGGGTCGGGGGCCCGTGGCATTTTGCCAGCACTGCCAGCCTATTGTTACGCCACTGGGCAAGTCGTTAATGGATCTCAGATGACAATTGTATGGGGCTTACTGTAGCTCTCTTTCTTTCTTGAACAATATTTTTGGAATATATATTTTTGGATCTTTATTCTAAAGCAATACGCACTGTTTTACATAATAACGTACAGTAGGTCTGTACCAAACTCAAATCATAATTTGTATTTATTACAGACCAGAAATCCAAAATAAGTTAAAAATATACAAGTTACAACTAGGAGATACATTTTTAAAAGATAAATAATATAAGATTTTTTTTTAGCCGCCCCAGCCAGAGAATCTTTGTACCATCTGTTACACGTCTGGAACCACAGGCATGCCAAAGGGTGTTATGCTGAGCCATGAGAATGTTGTCGCTTCCATGTGCAGTGTCACAATGCAGCTTGGTGAACACAGGCCTACGAAACACGATGTGATGATTTCGTTCCTGCCACTCGCACATATGCTTGAGCGATGTTGTGAGGTAAGTTTTGTTAGTTTAAATGCGGGTAAAGGTCGATTCACACATATCAGTGAAGCCACGGTTCCGTCAACGTGTCCGCTCAGTTCAGTATCAGTGATACAGTATTGCGTCAGTCATTCAATTCACACATGTCAGTACTCAGTTTACGGAGCTTCAGTGAAAACGTGTCCGTCGCGTTGTCAAGTAACGTGATTATGGCTCTGTTCAATACTACGGAGCTAGCAATGATAGCTGTTGCTTAAGACGAAGAAGAAGAGCAGCATCAAGGAAAAAAGAAAATGGGTGCATGAAGCATGGCAATTAAGAGACGGAAGGAGAACTCATCATATTATACAAAGAATTAGTTAAAGAAAATATTTTAAAATGTCAGTGAGCTGCTTCAATATTCTTCTGCAATAAATAAAATGTAACAAATAATAACGCGGCGTCAGTGATCCGACAAAAAATATCGTTGTCAACGAATCCGTCCGTGATTGCCGGTGTCGGCACTGACACTGACAAGTGGGGATGCGTTCATAGAGAATGTATGAAAGAATATTTCGCACTGTGCCGGTACTGTGTCGGAACTGTGGCTTAACTGATATATGTGAATCGACCTTAATGAAACATACGACATTGAATTTTTAAAAAAAGCCAGTGAATTTTTATTCAGTTTTTTAAATTTGTTTGGTATTTTTATGAGCATAATAATAAATTTATTTAACCGATAATCTACCAAATTGATGTAGTGTCTCACTGACAACTGTTGAGAAGCAAGGGGAGTTATCTAAGAAATAACCGCGTATATATCTGCTAAAAAAGTACTGTTTAATAGGGCTTACTGCATAGCATAGACAGTAATATAACGACTTTAAAAAAACTTAACTTTTAATTTAATACACTTATTTTTAAATTATAACAAATTCAAATCATTTAATCAAAGAACGTTTAAAATCTTGTAGACATTCAAATCTTAAAATAACATCTGAAAATTGTAAAGGTAACCTTAAAATATTTTTTTATCCAACTATTAATATTAGGTAGGTATAAGGTATAAAAACGTTTATTAGGCAATAATAATAATAGATCATAGTCATTCTTGCCATAGTGATTCACATATGTACTAGCAAAATCCACCTCGACATTATTAATTGCATACTATAGTGCAGGCCTTCACATCAATCATTCCATTGAAGCGGGACTTGCACGAACGACGGTTAAATTGTTTCATTGACATTGCACATTTTCATAATGTAAGAAACCATGCTGAGATCCAAATTATCTGCAATTTTGACGTTGACTGATGGAGTAAATTTCCTGTTGCCTTCTTATCCGCCTACTCTATGGCCGGTTTACTCATTTTACGGGCAATTAAACGTTTGAAACATCAAACAGTTTTACAGTTGTAATAAATTCGTTCGATATATTTCGAACTATCATTAAAACTGTCGAACGATATTTTACTATGCTAAAATGATACCATTCTCGCCTTGATGGCTGGAAGTCTTCCACAGTCCGTTTAACAAGGCTTTTTACTTTTGCGAACTAGCAAACTGTGGAATTGACTCCCGGTGGGGGTTGACTTCCATGAGAGCTACTACCTCCAACTATTCAAAGTTAGAGTGCACTCCTCCCTCAAAGGCCGACAAAGGCTGCGAAAGGGCAGTCACCTTTTTGGCGTAATAATAAAATTCAAAATTCAAAATTCAAAAATCATTATTCATCAAAAATGTGTAAGGTGGTACAATTGTATGTTCGCATATGCTGCCACACACAATGGCGCGCGAATTTGTCTTTAAAGGAATCTTACATTTTACATTATTAGTCAAAGGCAATTCTTATATTATTTGTATCGTACATATCATATCATACTTTATTAAATTTCTATCAACTACAGTGTCTCACGCAAATAATCATTTATTGAATAGTAAATTTTTTCCAAAAGTAATACACCAAGTCGCTTTTTAAAGACTCTAGTCGGAAGATCTTTCAATTCTTTTGGTAATTTATTGTAAAACTTAATTGCCATACAAAACGTGTTTTTCCTAAACAGTTCCAGATTGATTTTTGGCACAGCCAATTTCTCCCCATGTCTACTTCTTACTTCGACTTCTACATTCGACTCCCCTATTATAAAATAAACATGTATATTTTTAGTAATGTCCGCTATACTTGATGTAGGAACTTATTTTTATTTCAGAACGCTCTTTACATGGTAGGAGGGGCAGTGGGCTTCTACAGCGGTGACATTAGAAGACTAGCAGATGACTTGGGCGCACTTAAACCCACCATGATGCCTGCTGTACCCAGACTCCTCAATAGACTCTACGATAAGGCACAGAGCGAAATAGCCAGTTCCAAAATCAAAAAACTTCTCTTTAATATGGCACTATCGGCAAAGGAGTCTGAACTAAAAAGGTATGTTTGTTAAAATGATAGATTACAGTCTAGGATAGTTTCAGTGTCATAATAACTTGTTTAATATAATATTTACAATTTAAAATTATTCAAAAGTTTGTCCTTCTTAATAAAGCATAGACTCAATTCACTAAGAATAACGATATAAAAAAATTAAGTAACTGGCATTTCAGTTTTAAATGTATTGCTTATTAAAACTTATTTTGTCTATAATTTTTTGAAAATAATGGCAAGTTAAGCCTCTAATGAATAGTTAAGGGCAAAACCTAATAAGTTCCAATTTTAATACCTTGTACACCTTATATGTTTCTATAAAGTACATCATTTTACAGAGGCATTATTCGATCAGACTCAGTGTGGGACAAGTTGGTGTTCCGCAAAGTGCGTGAAGGTATGGGTGGGCGTCTCCGCATCATGGTGGTGGGATCTGCGCCACTCGCCGGCAACGTGTTAACGTTCGCAAGATGCGCCCTCGGATGTCTGGTAAATAACGTTGTTCTTCATTAAACGGTACCAAGAAAACTCAGCTTCTCATGTCTTAAACGCTTTATTCTTCATGTCTTTCTGTCAATTAGATACCTTGATAGGTAATTTGTTGTGATATGTTACTAGATTTTTAATCAATTAGTCTCTCTCTTGTACTTATACTTATGTATACGTGATAGAAGTTATACTTCTTTGGCGTAATAAGATAAAAATCTTTTCAAAAATTTTATCTTTCGCCTTTTGCGTTTGTAGAAAAAACTACACTAACAACAGAAAAATCTAAAATGTTGACTAGCTAACGTCAGGGTGTCGGTTTTTTATGACGGTGTGCGCGCGCATCGTAAAATTGTACAGTCATCATTTTGCCCTAACGCGTCAAAAGAAGTATAACTTCAAAAAGTACACACCTAGAATATGACTGCTACAAAAATTAAGGTATAAAAAACGCAAATAACTTAAACGCTCTTGAAATTAAACTCATTACAAATCCATATTTTGTGTCGTGTGTGGGGTTGCCACGTTATATCTTAATTCATCATCGTCACGATACAGTCAAAGTCAAAAATTCATAAACGTCATAGAACACCATTTAGCATTCAGCGTCTCAATTAGAGCGACTTCAAAGGGATTGCTATCTCTATAAATCATCTCCCAATCGTCAATCTAGTGATGCGCAACTGTTATATTTAGACTATCTACTAACATTTGTGGGCTGTTTTCTGTAATAATATTTGTGAGTAATGCCAAGGTCAAGATGTGGAGTAGTTATAGGAAATTAACGACTCCATTTCCGATGTTTATTTTGAGGTTTGATCTAGTCGTTGCACGTGCCAGTGGTTTTATATTTTTATTAAAGTTTAACATTTAAAGCTAATAACAAAAACTAAAGACTAACGGATACTATCACAAACATCTGAAATTTCTCGTAACATAAAAAACGTTTTTAATTTAATACATAATAATAAACTGTTTTCAGCCGATCGTTTCTTGTTCTTTCGTGGCTTAGAATTGGAAGTAACATGTTTCAAATATATTGTTTCAGATTGTTGAGGGTTATGGTCAGACGGAGTGCACGGCGCCGGTGACTTTGACGGTTCAGGGTGACCACGTCCCAGAACATGTTGGGCCTCCCGTCGCTTGTTGTAAAGTGAAGGTATATTTCCACTGTAAATAGCACTGGCTGTAGAGCATATACTTCACTCTTATTGAAGAGGAGAATTCAATTGTATTAAAAAAAAATTAATATTATTACTATATATTTTTCAAATATACCATAATATGAAACGTCTATCCAATGAAACTTTAGAGAAATCTTTGGCTTACCCGTTCCTTGGAAGTTATACATAAGTTCAGACTTTTTAAGGCAGTCCCAAGTAACACGTAATCTGTATATTCACTGAAGTAAAGACTGATTTACGTTTTAAAGTCAGACTATCACTTTAAATCAGTTTTGACTTAGTTTAAATGCTTTTCAGTAGAATGTGGTAAAATTTATAATGCATGAAGCTATTGTATGGTCTAAAAAATAAGGTTAATTGGCTTATAATCATACTAAAACATTAATTACTTTTAATATACAGCACCTTAAACAGCATTTACACTAACACAAAGGTTAAGACCTTATATTAGTAAATAAGAAAACCTAATACATTAAATAAACGTTGTCGAAATACTTTATAGTGAACTTAGATTTATTAACACATTTTTAAGATTAAACGCATTTTTATAATCTTTTCTTATGCTTATTTACAGCTAAGCATTAGCCAAACATTTACTAAAGTTTTAGCTCTGTTATCTTCTTACTTTATTGTTACTTTAAAGCTTTCAGCACTATTTAGATAAATAAAAATTTAATTTTATTACTATAGGTCATAATTTGGCCATAAAACCATGAGTAGTATGATTATTTTCATTTGTGCGTTAGTATATATATATACTCATTAGTAATTTTATGTCGCACGTGTCACGTTGTTGTCATGAATAAACAGTGGAAAAAGACTAAGAGAACAGGTGGAGTAAAGAGAAAGATAAAAATGGAATACTCAAATTTTATATCTGGTTTAAGTAATGAAAAACGTGTTCCAAACAATGATACTCTTGATACACAAAATACAGAACAATCGGTAGTTGTGTATGAGCCAAGCACCGTTCAAGAAGTTCTAGCAAGTGGTTCCGTAGTACATTCAAGATGCGAGCTGGGTTTCTCTTTGGGCTTCATAAATAGTGGGGCCGGTATCTGTGTCGCTATGCTGCATCATAATTGACAATTCCTCGTCAGCATCTTCATAGGTTAAAAAACCCGTCCGTTTGACTTTACAAGGCAACACTGACCAATCTGCGCGAGGCTTGGAATTTTCATTCCTTACTAATGCAGACTCATTAGGTCTTTTTGGATATCGCAGTTGACGCTGACTTTCCCACCCGCTTGGAACAATAAACAGTTTAGTTGATCCCCTTTCGGTCGTTTGCACAATTTTAAAAGGCATCTGAAAAAAACAATTGAGCTTATTTAGGACTTAATAGAGAAGGTACTTTACCTTAAAACTAAATAAGTACCCGTATAACGCGTGCCCTTAAAACGTATTTACAAAAAGTTCCTTTAATTACAATGTGCGAAAAATAAGATTATAATATCGTGTTTCAATTCACTAGGTACTTTAGGTAGGTACTTCCCCAACTCATTTATTGTGATAATGATTTTATACTTACACTTGGCAAATTATCTAACTGGAGACAGATAAAATATGAAAGACGTGGAGTAGGGTATCATGTAATTAAGGGATTCTAAATTATTATTTCGGTACCCTGATTAACACTATAGCAATCCATTTTTATGACGTATAAGGGTAATAAACATTATAACATGCCTAAAAAGTGTTACTATAATGCTAAAGATATCACTTAGATATTTTTTATGTAGGTTGAATGACTTAAGCTATTTTTTTATACTATAATAAGACTGACAACATTAAAAGACACTAGTTGAAAGTTTAGAACATTAATATTACATGACGCCATTTGCTTTCTGTTTTCTCGAACATAAAAAATAAAATTATAACACACATATGAATGAAATACTACTTATTATGTTTTTCTTATAAGCGAAGTATCGATAGAAACAATTTTATACGTTAAAATTAATGAAATCGTTAAAAAATTACAAAAGGTCAGCTGATGTCGATTCTAAATTTGTCCCTATTTTTTATTAAAAAGCATTTCTGTGACGGCGCGTGAATTATAAGCCACAAACATATATATATTTTCACATAAGACTAATACCCCCAACTCATTTGCATTCAAAACAAAATAAAATTGATGTTTGTCTTACCTTATGATAAATTATTTTCAATGAAGACACATTAAAACGTCTCCGCACAACACCAATGCACTGCAATACACTAAACGAAATATATATAATCAATTCGGACATATAAGTTTCGATAAGGTTTTTCAAATATTTTTATACAAAGAAAATAAAACGTTCAGCCTTAGAATAAAACGTAACTTTGGCATTGTAATTCAAAAAGCTGTATAAAAGCTGTACTAACATCTAAAAAAATGCTTTTTACATTAGAATATGCTGTCTCACAACTTTACTAATGTCTGTCTTCAATAACATTATAAGCGCTGGTTAGCAGCACTAATAATATTTAAAAATGCTCAAAGCCGTATTATTTGGGGCCCAAATTGAGCTTATATGACACTTATAAACTTATAAACGGCTGATATAGTGCTACATATGCTGCTCATATACTGTTTTGCACGTAAGTCCATGCTGTTGTACGCTTCTTATAATGTTGTTTTGTGTTACTTGGGGTATTTTGTCTGTTTGATAGGATATAAGGCACTTTTTATTTTTTTCTTCACTTCCTTATGCTCATCTCAGGTATTTTTATTTCACAGTTGGTGGACGTCCCAGAAATGGAGTACTATGCGGCGCAGGGTCAGGGTGAGATTTGCGTGCAGGGCGCGAATGTCTTCAAGGGGTACTTCAAGGAGCCGGAGAAGACTAGGGAAGTTATCGATCAGTATGGCTGGCACCACACTGGTGATATTGGCAAATGGCTACCGGTAAGTTCAAAATTCTTTAACAATAATTGAAAAAACTACTTTACTTGTAATATTAAGACTATCAAAACATATATTTATGAATACTATTTACTACTACTGTATTTCTTGAATAAGTATTTTAGTACAAGGTTTTATATTCGATGTCGTTACAGAATGGTACCTTAAAAATAATTGACAGAAGAAAACACATTTTCAAATTGTCGCAAGGCGAGTACATTGTTCCTGAGAAGATCGAGAATATTTATATCAAAAGCCAGTACGTTGAACAAGTTTTCGTACACGGAGAATCATTAAAGGTAAATAATAAAAATAAGTTATCTGTTTTTGTTTGGTATGTCAAAAAAGAAACGTCAATTGTGAAGTAAGCACGGATGGAAAATTGTATAGTAGAAACCATTTCATTATTTAGATTTATTGAAGTGAAACTTCTTTATCGAGGTTGGAAAAAAATTTAGTGTAACATTTTTTCGTTACGCGTCACATTTTTCGGTTACGCGCCATGTTGCTTTTTGAAGTCAAACTTCTTTATCGACGTTGGAATGAAACTTCTTTATCGACGTATGGGAGAAATTTTGTAGCAAATCGTAACGTTTTTCAATGATAGTAATAATTCTATTACAATTAATGAAATTCTATAATAATCTTCGTAGTAATAAGGTAAAATGAAATATTTGTATTCATGTCTATGATAATAAAAGCCTTTTGTTAAACTTTATCTAATTTAACGAATTTCTGTAAAGTTGCATATAGTAGATCATTTTTCGAAAAATAAGATCATAAAGAAGTTTCACTTCTTACGTGTGTACACCTAGTACACGCACAATTTATTTATAATGAACGTACTCGTATATCAATTTATTTTTGTGGATAGTAGTATTTATACTGTTAACGTGTATGTGTTTTATTAGCTCTATCTATCAAAACCACCGGGTAGCAATAGAAAGGCCGCATTGTTTATTTTTCTCAAGGTTTCTTTTTTAGTTTGAAAATTCAGAATATGCATTAAATAAGGATTACCTAAATTAATAGTGTTAGTGTAAAATCAGCTTGTTTCCTATAACTGCTTCATTAATAAATAAATATCAGAAGGAACGTGCATTCGAAAATACTATTTGCTCGCGGCGAGTCATAAGAGTAAAATCCATTTTGATGATACCTAGATTTTTTATAGCCCAATCATAATATTCTTTCTGAATAATTAAAATTATTGATTGAAACTGGCTATCATTTCAAGTGGTAATAAATTTAGCAACGCAAACTTAATAATCGTAAAATGTTTTTAGTGCGCGAGATGTTTATGCCGTTTTTAAACTCGCATATTTTACTGAGTAGACTCGTAAATCGCAGGCAAACGTAAAATCAACTTTTACTAATAAAAGAGTATTACAATTGTGTAATCAACTAAACGTTAAATCGAAACATTTTTGAAAAATTTAAAACATACATGGTTATTTGCAATTCTGCATATGATTTCAATAATATAACACCAAATGACTAAGAGAGTGCTAATTCCGGGGTTAACTGAACTATAGCTATATAATATTCAAAAGAATCTGTAAAAGAATTATATTACCTAAAATTTACAGCGATAATGACATCTCAGCATGTGTATAAAATTAAATAGTGGGACTAGTTCGCACTGGTTTTCTTCTGGTGGAAAACTCGTCCAAAGACATCTTTCGACATCGACCTTTATCTATTCCATGAAGTAGACATACTTCTGCATCAATTTAATGTTCTTCAAGTTGGTCAATAGCCAATCGAATTAATTATTGTTTTGTCGAATGGAATAAGACCTGTATTCGATTCGTCTCCAGAATAACCATCGATGAAGAATGTTTAGTGACGCCAATATTTTACCAAATACACCTTTACACGTTGTGTAATAATCTTTTTTGTCTTTCAGTCGTGTATAGTAGCAGTCGTTGTACCTAATGTTGATGTAGTGAAGTGTTGGGCCCTCGAAAATGGAATCAAAGGAACCTTCTCCGCGCTGTGTGAGAATGAGAAAGTGAAGAAAATGATAATTGAAGACATGTTGAATCGAGGCAAACAGGCAGGCTTGAAAACATTTGAACAAGTAAGTTCATTTGTTAATGTATGTTATTAGTAAAGTCTACTTAGATTAAAAAAATATTTATTTTACATTAGTTAAATTAACCATTCAATATTAGGCATCAAAGAGTAGAAATCCTTGTCATTATAATATAATAATAATTTGCAAGAATATGGTACAAAAATATTATGCTGGCAGCTGGTGTTCTAATCTAAACTTAGCATATTCTAACAGGCTGGCATGCAAACTTGTCTAATTAAAATTTGTCATTACACTATCATCATAGTCATTTCTTATATTATTCACTACAAATATATTATTACATTATCAATTTAATATGAATTATAATGTTTCACCCAAGAAATCAATTCAAAAGTAGTATATTCAGTTGGTTTTTAAAAACTGGTACGAAGATCTTTGAAGGTTTTTGGTAAACATAAGCAAACGAACGTAAATATATCTTTAAATTGTAATGTAACTATAAGGAACTCTCTATATTCCGTTATCAACAGTACAATCAATTAAATCAGCTTTAAAGTCTCTTGTACTACTATAACATTGCAGAACTAATCTGGCTAAATAATAATTTCTTGTTTAAATGTGGCCACTACAAATCGGCTGCTGGTAGCACTTCTGATAGAAACACTTTATATAAGAACTATCGTATTTTTTATTATCATACATCGCACTAGTTTCCCAAGGCTAGTTGTCGTTATGGACGCTAAACACACCGCCTTGTCATGTTCATCAAGATAAGTAATCTCTTATGCATTATGTGTGCCTTTGTTGCCACGCCTATACAGAACTAACTGTCCGTATGTTACGATGATCCGATGTTGTTAATACGATTTGGCATTCTGATAAACAATAAATAAGCTCCCTGCCAAATCGTAAAATTACTGCTTCACGACTGATTTGAGCGCGACCGCCGCTGCGGAAACCGCTGTGAGAGTTCGGAAAGTGAGTTACAGAATCGCAAGGCTGATCTTAAAAAGAAACTCTTTTTTACTTTCAGGTGAAAGACATCTATTTGCACCCAGATCCATTCTCAGTGCAGAACGGACTTTTAACTCCCACCCTGAAGGCGAAAAGACCCGAAATCAAGAGTTACTTCAAACCACAGATTGAAGACATGTACAAACAGTTAGAATAACGAAAGTTCTGAAATGTTTAATCTTTATATAAGTGTCAAAGATACGTCAGCAAGATAAAACCGGTCCTACAATATTTTTATGATACAACACAAATGTTAGATTCATTTTGGCTACTTTAATGAATAGTTGAAGTATGAGCTTTACAGTATGTACTGACCAAGACGTACTCTTGACCAGTGTCGCATAAAAAAAACAAACCGAAGAACATAATCTAGTTCCTTGAACTGTCAGACCAAATTCTGTATTATTGCAAAAATCAAGGCTAGAAATGTATTGTATCATTGTATGCTTTACGTAAACTCCTTGATAATGCATACATATGTCACCGTAAAATTGTAAACACAGTTAGATTGTAATCTATCTCGCGAGATTGTAAACTGTCGAAATATTGTGAACCTCAACGTACTGCTTACAATTTAACGTATTATTATTCGGTAGATTGTAATCTATAGAAGTGAAACCGTAAAATTGTGAAACGGATCGCACCTCGCGCGACTGATTGGTTGAACGGAATATGCCCCGCGCCACCATATTTGTTTGTTATGCATACGACAAGAGGTAGAAAAGTATGTTCAGGACTAATTTCAATCATGCGTTTCAAATTCGTCCTACAAGGCTGTGTAATTCATATTTTTCCTTTTTACTAGCTCTCATACTTGACAGTTTATATTTTAAATATATAGGGACCGGTCTTCTTTAAGCTAAAATAGAAGTGATATAATTTCAGGAACTCAAATTTATTACATTACACAACTTTGTGGACAGCGAGTGACGAATTAAAGTACTCGAATGTAATAAATGTGTTAAAAAAGTTTTATTTAAATAGACGTAACGAATAACAGTTATGGTACATTAATAAGCAATAAGGTTGAACAGTCAATTATGAATGCGTAAACTTTCAAAGCAATTTCTATTAGGCAATTAGAAGGATAGTAAATGAATGTAGTTATCCAATGTTGGATTAAAAATGAATTAAGCTCCATTCGAGATTGCTTGTTTATGTAGATTCGATTGTAGAGGGAACGCTTTTCGAAGGTTATAATGCACTTTTGTTTGTAATTTGGTACTTATCGATTTAATGGCGAAGTGTGTGCTATGAATTTTATACGCTGATTATCCTTTCTTTTAAGCGATAGTTTTTTTAACGATTTTATCTTAGTTTTGCGTGAGGGTGAATCTCTTGAAAGTGGGCCCGTAGACTGATTATTTAATTTAGTAATTATTCAAGACCGTAAAAGCAAGAATTTTATGTAATAAATGAGGTTCATTAAATATAGTTTCCTTATTGACGACGTACATAAATGGGAGAAAGACGCACGCACGGAAGTTTGCTTCGTATTTTTTAGTGTAAATTTCCTATAAATACTAGTTAATATAAAAACAGCAAATAAATTCTTGGCGTGCCGATAATGGGCCACAGCTTGCATACGGCAGGTGAATTGGAAAACAATTTCATAATTTACTTTGCTTTTTATGAATCGTTAAAACTCACATTTGTATAATATATAAGTATTCGTATTAATAAAACAGCATTAAAATGATTGTAAACTTTTCATAATGACGTCATTCACAAGAATTTCATAATCTTGCTAATGGTCACGTTAAATGGTGTTTTTTTATTTGTTTGTCTATGGGTCCAGCATATAAGTCCATAAGTTTTATCACAATACGTATATAGACGATTTTTAATAGCAAAATCTGTCGCACTTGTAAGTAGATAATTTTATATTATCATTTATTAAGATAATTCTAGCTTTGAGCGAATGTTGCGGTTTCATGATGTCTAAACCAAAATTTTGTTGTTATTGGTGCAAGATTGTACTACAATAATTTATTTTTAAATAAAAATTCTTGGCAAAATTACTTGTTTTTATTTTATTTACCACATATAGTAAGGTATTATATACTGGGTTTCCCACAAATCCGTCTGAAGCCGAAATCGAGAGACAGGGCAGGTAGAAGTAAAAATATTTTTTTGCTTAGTCATTATTTTATTAATTAATTTATATATTATTTTATTTTTTATTTTATTACTATTTATTACTTGATATGTCATGTGGAACATGGTGTAATGGTTGCAGCTCCTTACAAACGTTGTGTAAAAATGGCGATTAAAAAGAGTGGCGGAGAGTTTATTGCCATTTCTTCTCTTCCATTCTACGCCCTTGATTTGAGAACTAGTAGTAAATGTAAAATTAGAAGCATTAATATGTATTTCTTTACTGACAAGTCATAAGTGTACATTATGTTACCTATTTGATTAAATTATTTTTTTACTTTTTACTTTTTACATGCTATATCATTACTTCGACTTGACTTACGATAAGCTGACACGGCGAACTTCGTACCTAACAGTCAATGAATGTCGTGTTGCGGATTAGCTGAACTTTGTTTAAGTATGATTTTATGAAAGTGATGCAATTAATACAAAACAAATAAAGTTTCCCTACTACATTAAGATAATAATTACAACCAATAAATATGCAAATCCTTTTACATTATCCGAATATTTTGGATATATCTTGTCGATAAGAAACCTTTGCTTAAATACGTTCTTTAATTTCATTGCCGTATCAACGGGATGAACATTAAGTGTTTGACAGTTACGAACTCATGAACATTTTGTATTGGATTATATTTTTCTTGATCTAGCCGTTGTCGAGTTATTAATGTTCGAACAAACCCGACATTATTTTATAATTATATATAAAGATTTAAATATGTATTTATTAAAGCCATATATTATATGCAAGATTACATTCGTTATATATTGCGTAATTATAATAAAAGGCGTTTTATATTATTCGTACTATACGATATTTAAATATTTTTTGATGAATAATTTTTCATTTAGCATTGAACACTTCAAAATAAGTTCATTGCCCTCTTTCAAATACATTTGATATCTCTAAGGAAATAGAAGTTAGACTCTTAGATTTCTACTAAAAGTTAGTGAAATGGGCCAAGAACAAAATAAATACTTTTAACATAGTATTGTCTTTTATTGACATAACCTTTACACATTTAAAGAAAAAACTTTTTAACCGGATTAAAGTTATGTATTATTATAAATTTACAATTATTTAACATAATTTTAAATTTATCCGACGTTTCGCGTGCTTTACAGCGTGCGTGGTCATAAATAACTTTTAACGCCCTCTATCAACTGAGTTAAGTATAAAATATACAACACTAGGTGGCGCTATTATAAGTTTAAAAATGTTTGTTATTTTTTTTAACATTAAGATATATTTTACTTAACTGGAGCAATGTTGGGCAAGTCAATCTGATCTGTCAAAGATTTAAAATCCTTAACTTTTAAACCCATCCATGGATTACTAGCACATATAGTTGAATCCCGGTAGTCATACGATCTATTCCCAGCGATACAATAATGAATTCTATCATTCAGAAGCAATAAAACGCAGAAATTTGTTTGCCGCCACATTATTAGTTAATTAAACAAGATTAAGATTAAAAAGTGTAAATAAAAATAATAGAGAACAAAGCTTTTATAAACGCATTTAAATGATTTAAAAACTTACATCTTCACATACTTTTTACAAAGTTACACAGCAATCTTTAAAGATTAATATAATCGTTTTAAAGTACCTGTATCCGTTATTAAAGAACCCCAGTAGGTCAGCTCTCTGAAAATAAACTTTAATTGCTCATCTTGTGAATCACGGTCAGTTCCAACTAATAGTGAAAATAGCATACAATTGTGTATCCTATTTATACTCAAATCAGTTTTACACGATTAACGCCCGTGTATTACACATATGTGGTATCTTTTAGAAATAAATTTGGAACGCGACTGTATTTCTTCCAATACAGCGTCCAAATTATTAACTACTACATTTATAACTTTTTTCATTTAGAGAATCGCATTCAGCCAAAATTAGAATAGCACCTGCAGATTCTGGAGTCGATTTTAAATGAAACAATAATTGTTTCGACTTCGAAACAAAAACAGCTTATCGTAAAACCGGTCAATGCAACAGACGCAAATATTTGTCTTTCCATAGCAGACAAAATCGTATTATCAACATGAAAAATATAAATAAGTAAATAGAGTAAATAAAAAGAGTGATTGAAGGTTCCATATTTCATATACAGTCAAACCTGGATAAGTGAGAGTTCAAGGGAGCACAATCTCATTCTCGCTTATAGAGGTTTCTCACTAATCCGAGTTTCTCGCTAATGCAGGTACATGGGAAGCGTTTCCCTCTTATAGAGATACGCAGCAATAACAAGTCACAGTATATATATTTTATTTTATTTAGAGTTTATTAATACTTGAAAAAATCCGTCAATTTCGTTTAGGTTTCTGTTTTTGTATTTTGAATGTTTTTCTCTCTTTAAATTTTGTCGAATATATTTATGTATTCTTATTGTAAAGTTTCTCCTAAATAAATAAAGCTCGACTGTCGCTTATAGAGCTATAGATAAGTAGCAGTCTCACTTACGCAGGTCCATGAGGGAAAAACGACTCTCTCTTACAGAGATTTCTGTTTCTCGCTAATAGAGGTTTTGGGAGCTTAAAATGACGGGTCCCGGCTATTACTCTCACTTATAGAGTTCTCACTTACCCAGGTTTGGCTGTAATATGTATGCGCTCATAAATTAGGTACGGTAATGAAAAATTATGGTATGAAATTCAACTACAAGGAACACATTTCCGTAGTAGTAGTTGAATATTGTAAAGCGCCATCTTGTATCAAATAGCTTCATTATTGGCTATCTCAACTACGGCAGTAGTTCGATATTCCTACACTACATGCATGAATAATTAAATAAATATGGTATTAAGTAATCTTCTTATCTGAGATTTATATGTACATGAATAAGTGCTTATATTTTTAAGGAGTTGCATACTCCTAATGTATTATGATCGTAATTCGTTGCTGATAAGATTGTAATATTATGTTTTCTTAGCTTTATTTGCATAATTTTTTTTTTAAATTTTAGCTACTTACTAACAGTTTGGCAGGATCAA